CCCCCCCCCCTTCTAGATTCTAACCGTAGGGACCAACAGTAACCTCCTTATCACGACACTGGAACTTAGTATGACCAGGACGTCCACACTTCCAGCATTTGCCTGAAGGAGTTGACACAGACCCTACAACACTTCTGACAGCACTAACAATGGATCCTCCAGTAAATGACTTGCTTCCACTAGCAATAACTTACTCCCTTAGAATCTAGCAGGAGCAGAGTAAGGCTTACTCCTACTCGAAGCATCAGAACTTGCAGCACGCGTAGGACCTCCAACTCCCTTGTAGAAAGCAGCACGTGCACAGTTGTCACGGTCAAAGATGCGACACTTGTTCATTAAGGTTGGAAAATGGTAGATCTCTTGATAATTGATCGCTGTCTTCACTTCGGGACGTAACCCATTCACAAACTTAATGCATTTAGCACGTTCACCACCCTCACCATGATAGTGGGAGCAGTAACAAACCAATGAGTCAAACTTGGCTGCATACTCTGCTACTGTGTCATTCCCTTGCTTTAGTTCAAGGAACTCCACTTCCTTCTGACTCCTCACAGGATCCGGGAAATACTTCTCAAGGAAGACCCTCTTGAAGTTGTCCCAATTCAAGTGTACCCCTCCATCAATCATCCTTTGAAGTGCTCCTTCCCACAAAAAGTGGGCATCACCAGTCAACATGTAGGTGGCCAACCTCACCTTCTGAACGAGAGGACACTCCATGACATTGAAGATCTTCTCGATCTCCATTATCCAATTCATTGCAGCATCTGGGTCATATCCTCATTTGAAGGTAGGTGGATGATTTCGCTGAAATTGCTCCAACTAGTTAGGAGTGACTCCAGCCCTATCGTTGTTACTCATAGCTTATGCTAACACTTCAAGGGTATCAGCAATCGCACGATCATTCCTACCAGCCATAATCTAAGAAAACAGTACACACAAAACAACAAACATTATCAATCATCACACTAGCATAAGTTCCACAATCAAAGGAATGGTGATATAAATGTTCAACAAGTCCGCTCAAGTGACAACCTAGCAGATCTCTTTACAAAGTCACTTCCAAGAAAAGTTTTTGAACAATTGATGCACAAGATTGGACTCCGTCGTCTTAAAGATTGTATACATGAGGAGAAGAAATAAATATTTATGAATGATGTACTCTTTTTCCTTCACTAGGTTTTTATCCCATAGGATTTTTCCTAGTAAGATTTTAAAACACTCCCCCTTGGATGTCCAATATTTAAAATGTACCTCGTTAAAATCTTACTAGGAAAAATCCTATGGGATAAAAACCTAGTGAAGGAAAAAGAGTACATCATTCATAAATATTTATTTCTTCTCCTCATGTATACAATCTTTAAGACGACGGAGTCCAATCTTGTGCATCAATTGTTCAAAAACTTTTCTTGGAAGTGACTTTGTAAAGAGATCTGCTAGGTTGTCACTTGAGCGGACTTGTTGAACATTTATATCACCATTCCTTTGAAAATCATGAGTAAAAAAGAATTTTGGTAGAATGTGTTTTGTTCTATCTCCCTTTATGTATCCATCTTTCAATTGTGCAATACATGCAACATTATCTTCATATATAACTGTCGATGTCATTTTTCCAGAAAATAAACCACAAGTTTCCCGTATGTGTTGAATCACAGATCTTAGCCAAACACATTCACGACTCGCCTCATGTAATGCCAAAATAGATAAAGTGGCTGATAAGGTTTGTTTTATAGATCGTCATGAAATGGTTGTATCACCACTTGTAAACAAATATCCTGTTTGTGATTTACCATTATGAGGATTTGACAAATAACTTGCATCTGCATAACCATTTAGTTCTGGTCTGGGAACATTTGAATATAATAACCCTATATCCATTGTACCTCTAAGATAACAAATGATTTGTTTAACTCCATTCCAATGTCTTCGTGTAGGTGAAGAACTATATCTTGCTAACAAATTAACAGCAAATTCTATATCAGGTCGTGTATAATTAGAAAGGTACTTTAATGCTCCTATAACACTAAGATATGGTACTTCGGGACCAAGTATTTCTTCATCTTTTTCTTGGGGTCTAAATGGATCTTTGTTAACATCTAAAGATCTTACAATCATGGGAGTGCACAATGGATGTGATTTATCCATATAAAACTTTTTAAGCACCTTTGTTATTTTTTAATAATTTTATAATTATTTCTGTTTGGAGAATTATTGGTATTATGAGATTCTGTATGTGTTTAGGATTATGAATATATGATTAATTTGTAAAAATGATGCTCTGGAAGAGAGAACGAAATCGTAGAAAAGTTCCTGTGAGTTAGGTTTTGGAAAATTGGGGGTTTTACTATTTGAGCTAAGATTCTACTAAATTAATGATTCTATTAGGTTTTATATTAATTTATAAATATTATTATTATATTATTTGGTAAAATTGATGATCTAGATATGGAATATGGTGTGTTGCCTTCGTACAAATGTATACATTATATCTACTATTTTAATATTGAATTGATAAAATGATGCGAGTATGTTGACATGAAATGAGATGTTAATGTGATATGATTGTGGTTCCTCACACATATGACTAGGGATGAGACGACCCTGGGTAAGTGATGCTACAGGGATGACATGCCCCTGACATAGTGTGGGATGAGTGAGGCAATTAACACGTATCACTTATGTCTAGAGTGGCACAACCTTGAGGTAGCGTGACCATTGACATAATGTTAATTGTAAGATTTGTGATGATTGTGATTGTGATGTGATTGTTGTTCCTCACACATATGACCAGGGATGAGATGACCCTGGGTAAGTGATGCTACAGGGATGGCGTGCCCCTGGCATAGTGTGGGATGATTGAGGCAATTAATACGTATCACTTATGTCTAGAGTGGCACGACCTTGAGGTGGGGTGACCATTGGCATAGTGTTAATTGCAATATTTGTAATAGATTGGTGTGATTGTGAAATTGTGATGTCCAGAGTTAGAGTGCACAAAATACAACCAGTATCGCTATACTAAATAGCTAAATACAACAAAATAATCAAACGCCACCTGCCAGCTGTAGACTCTCCTCAGCACACCAACCTAACCCTGCTCTGCTCCCATACATAGTATGATCATCGCATTCCAAACTACATGGAAACAACAAAGGGTAAGCTAGTGAAAAGAAACAACATACATATATAAATGTATGAATAGTAAACAGCTACAGTTATCAGCACATCAATCAGCTTAACAACATCAGCTTAATATATATAACAGCACACATCTCACATCATTCAGCAATAACAATAGTAAACAGCAGTACACAATGATAAACAACAGTAAACACACAATGTGTCGTCACGCATATAAGTTAGTATTGGTCGCTTGTAAGCGGTATAGCTCGACCTGGCCCCTATATCGTGGGCGCTTTATACACGTGTGCCTCGACCTCACCCGACGGTGGGGGGGCCATCCAGAGGCTCACACCCTCAAGCTCGCCTGGCGCATACACCATTGCGCCCGGTGGGCTTGCCCAATGGAGCTCTCTGATGGTCATGCACCTGGCGCGAAGAACTGTGCCCGGTTTGATACCCAACAGCAACCCTCAAACTTCAAAAATTTCTTCAAAACCTGCACCAACTCATCTTTCCAGACGCATGTAATCGGCCCAAAACATCACGTTTCCATTAAATCACCCAAAAAGCCCAACTTTACCCACATGCAACCATAAACAATGAAAATCCCAAATTTCACCAAAAACCCGAAAACCCCAAAAAATGAGTTTTCATCCAAAACAGCTCAAAATCTTTGAAAATCTCAGCAATTCGTGAGTCCTAGCTCACTACAACACTCAACCGGCAAGAAATCCTAGCTTCCCTTACCTGAAGATTGGATCAAGATAACCAAGAAGTAGAATTCCCTTTCCAAAGCTCAACCCGAAACTTCAATCCTTCAAAAGTAAGCTTTCTAGTCCAGAGCCCTTCTTTCTAGAACTTCTCTCTAAAAATCTCTTCTCCTCAACTTCCCACAACCTCTATATATAGACATTCTGGAGTGACCAGAACGACCTGTACCGAATCCGGAACGGCCCGTTCTGCACCCTTTCATCATGTGCAAAAATCACATGCAGAATGGCCCGTTCTGGAACTCATCTAGAACGGCCCATTCTCTATCCAGAACGGCCCGTACTCCCCTCCAGAATGGCCCGTTCTCCCTCCAGAACGGCCCGTTCTCCGACCAGAACGGCCCGTTCTCCCTCTAGAACGGCCTGTTCTCAACAATGATTTACAGGTCATTTTAATAGCTTGGAACGGCCCGTTCCAGATTGGGAACGGCCTGTTCTGGGCTAGTAAAACACCAACTTACTATGTCACAATACCCCCAACAAATAAGAATTTTCGTCCCTGAAAATAGGCTTACTTGGGAATAGAAACCTAGATTATCTAAGTATGAATTTTGATTGTTTGAGGTGAGTATCTTAGGCCATTCTCAAAATCAATCACATATCCACACATCACATTCAACAAGAAGCCCAACAGAACAATCAGAAGGCAAAACAGAAAACGTTCATATTTTGTTTGTTCCTAGAAACATGCATCAGGCAAGGGATTGGAGGTCAATCCTACTACCCAACAATTATTCCCGCACCCTGAGCGAGGTTTCTCACTCCCCCCTTACCTAGATAAGCAGAAGACAAAGCTAGAGCGAAATCTGGTTGATCTCCTTCTCTTGGTTCACCTTGGTCTCTAGAAAGTGTGTCCAGAAATAGTGCATGGGTGCTCTATTTATAGATTTTCGGAGAGGCCAGAACGGCCCGTTTCGAATCCAGAACGACCCGTTCTGGATCCTTATGGAATATGTAAACTTGGCACCTGGAACGACCCGTTCTAAAACTAGAACGGCCCGTTCTGGGTCTACGTGTTAGCGCACAACGACCATATCTGGAACGGCCCGTTCTAAAACTAGAACGACTCGTTCTCAACTAGGGTTACAAGCCTTTTGGGTGGTTTGGAACGCCCCATTCCCAACTAGAATTCGTAGGCCATTTAAGTAGTTTGGAACGGCCCGTTCCAGTTTGAGAACGACCCGTTCTAGGCTACTAAATCACGCTTGTTTTAGTAGTCTGGAACGGCCCGTTCTGGGCTACTAAGTCACACTTAAAATTACTAAATTGCCCTTATCAAAAGCATGAAAACTAGGGTGTTACATATAACTATTGTTTTAGGATTGAACCTAGAGATATTTGTCTATAAAAGAATACTTGCTTTAGTCTGGAGGGACTTGTCTACAAAAGAATACTTATTTCAGTTTGCAAAGGCTTGATTGCAAAAGAATACTTGGTGTTGAAGCCTAGAGAGTCTGTGTGTGAAAAGAATACTTAGGTAGATTACTTAAAGATGAAATTCGAATAACACCTAGGTTTGAGTCAAAAGTGACTTGTTTAAAGAATACTTGTATATTGTTTAAGATAGTAGAACTTAATCTGGGTGGATTGAGAACTGGACATAGTCTCAATGGTTGAGAGTCTTGAGATGAATTAGTATAAAAATATCATGTGTTTTGTCTGCCTCTTCTCTAACACTTTTTACTGCTAGCGTCACTAGTTCACTACTTGAAAAAGTGCAATTTTTTGATTGACATTATTCAACCCCCCTTCTAGTGCCTATCTTTTCTCCACATATAGAAAAGTTAGGGTGTTATAATGTATCATGGAGTGAAGTTGTTGAGATATTGAATTTGAAAGATGTTACACAATTGACTTGTTCTTACCTATATGAATCTTATCCATAGAATCTTTGATCACAAAGGTAAGTTACCAACACTTATTTGTTTTCAAGTAGCTTAAAAAAGACTCATTCTCCTTAATGTTTAATATAACAATATTTTCCCTAGGGTTGAAGTCAAAGGATCGATTGAATCTACTATTGACTTTGCGTGATCAATAAATTTTAATCTTTTTAATTAAGCAACTGCTTTACCACATTATTTTTAATATTATTATTCCTAACGAAATATTTACTAAAAGGTTCTTCAACCACTCAACCATCTCAAGAGTGATAAACTTTGACTCAAAGATTATTTATTTGGTTGATCTCAAAGTGATTGCATTACAACCAAGTGTAGTGACACAACCACTATTGGATTTTGTCTCATTTTAATCATTTTTCTTCTATACCCCCTTTCTTACTCCCACACCCCTATCACACCATCCACACTGTGCAACTTGTATGACTCTCATTGGATGGTCTAGATCTAGCATTTTAGGGGCCTAGAATTTGAATTTCAAATTTGAAATTCAAATTTTGGGAACCATAATTAGTTGGCTTTAGTAAGTTAACCTAATCTCGGTACAACTAACCTTCATTAGTTTAACTTACACTGCAAGCTAACAAATGCTACATATAGGCATTAACATCATGTATGTCTCTTTTTCAAGAATGATAAATAAATTGATTTTTCTTCCCTCCAAAAGTCTTGGAGTTATTTCATGAGAGTGTAACTCCTTATGTTTTTTCATTAATGAACTTATCCTTGTGGCAAGAACCTTACTTCTTGACTTATCTTTCACTTGAAGGTGGTGTCTCCTTTACTCTTCTTCCTACTCCATTTGAAGTTTTTGAAGCTATGGATAAAGATTAAGGGATAAAGAACAACTAAGGAGCATCATCTTCTAAGATCTTAAAGGTGTTTCCATCAAATTTATAAAAAATATTTTATATCATGTGGACAAAAGATGGACACTAGAAGGGGGGTTGAATAATGTTTATCAAAAACTCACTTTTTTGTAGTGAAGTAATAATGCTAGTTAGATGGAGTGTGAAGAGAAGTTAGATAAAACATTGGGTATTTTTATACTGGTTCATTTCAACCATTGAGAATACATCCAGTTCTCAATTCAACCAAATTGAGTTTCATTATCTTTAAACAAAGATACAAATATTCTTTTAATATGCTGCTTGTGGCTCAATCCTAAGTATTCTTCAACTTGCCTCTTCAATCAACTACCCATATATTCTTTTCACAACAAGCTTCTCCAGGTTTAACAATCGAGTATTCTTTTACAGACAAGCTTCTCTAGGCTCAATTAAGTATTCTTTTACAAACAAGTCTCTCCAAGCTTAATAACCAAATATTCTTTTTTAGACAAGCCTCTTAGGCTCAACCTTACAATAATGGTTACAAAAGTTACAAAGATATTGTTTCATCTCACTTAGACATTATACAACAAATATAGTGCAATGAACTTTGTACAAGAAAGAATGAAGTTTATATACAAGTATGATTTACAAAATGTGTCTCTTTAGAATATTTCTTCTATATTGTCTTCATTTTTTTTTGAACATCAAATTTTTTTACATAATAGCTTTGGAGAAGATGACCATTGCAATACTTTGAGTCCAACTCACAAGTTTGCTTCATCTGTATTCAACATCTTTCCTTGTAATGAGATGAAACTGTTGACTCATTTAGTGTAAGTATTAAATACATTTCACCAAATGATACTTCTTATTTGATCAAGGAGACTACTTATCATCTTTTCATATTAAATGTAGCTTACAAAAGTAATGTCAGTGTAGAACAACAACAACAACAACACCTTTACTTCCTTTTCTTCATGACTTCAAGGATCTTAATCCTTGGTTTTGATGGAAAACATGATTTTATTATGTTTAACAAGTTTATGATTTCCAAGATAAACTATCTAGTTCGATTTATTAAGAAATAAAACATTCAAATAAAATTTGTCGTTAGTCTCAATAAATAATGAACATTTAATGTATTTGAGACAAATTGTATGCTTCGTCTAAATCACATTGTATTATATATGATCTACGTCTTACACTTCATATTATAATCATTTTTGAAGACATTTTCTCTTGTAAAAATGTTTCTTTTGTTAATATTAAAATTTCAAATCTTAAGGGATCCAATATTGCCTTTTAACTTAACATATTAAAACTCCAAAATATTTTAATTGATAATAACTTTTTAAAAAAATATTAGGATAAATTGGACTTTTGATCCTTCTATCCTTATCAATTTGTAATTTTGTTCTCTCTATTTTAAAATAGAGATATTTAGTCTTTTTTATATTTTAAAAATACAAAATTTTGGTCCTACTTATCTGTTGATCATTAATTTTTAATGTTGTTAAGTGACCAGTTGTCATTTTTTTTTGGTAAAAACCAGTTGTCATTTAAGTAACGTGATATTTAGTGACATGACATATAGAGATAAAAATAAAAAAATAATATAAAAAAACTTTGTATATATTTTAACAAGTGATTGATATTTATTTTATTAATAATTTTTTTTGTATGATTTTCTTTTTATCTCAAAATATTATATTACTAAATGTCATATCATTTAAATATGAATGATATTAAAATTATGATTAATAGATGACAATTTAACACAAGGACCAAAATCATGTGTTTTTAAAATTAGAAGTAAATTTTTCTATTTTTAAATAGAGGAGTCAAAATTGTGGATTAACAAAAATAGATAAACAAAAAGTGCAATTTAACCAAAACATTAAAATTTAATAAAAAATTAAAAGATGAGATGTTGAAAAAAATTAAAAATATTTTTATTAAGGAAAATAACAAAAAAAACCATAAAAAATTTAAAATGAAGTTTGTTATTGAAAAGAGAAAGTGTACTTTAAAGTATAAAATACACTTACAATTATTGATAAGAAAATCAATGATAAAAATTATTATAAAATCAAATTCTTATAAAATAAAGTTTTAAAAATTCACTATATATAAATGACCGTTGATTTTTTAATTAATAATTTAGGCTCTCTTTATTTTTTTGTCTTTCCTTTCATAATGTAAAAAAATTCACAATTATTGATAAAAAGTTATCTATTAAAAAGAAACAAATATTTATAAAAATAAATTATAAACTTAACAGATCATTTAAATGTACTAAAATTAAAATTGTGTTACCAAATACGACTGTTCATATCATTTTCACATTCCCGAATCTCAAGGCTGACTTGTTCTCACGTGTCGACAAGTTGGATCACACATGCACCACATGATTGGGCCGTGGTCAGCCACGTCAGCATAACATACATGATTAGGGCCTCACAGTAAGACATTTCCTCTCACCGCACAGGATCATACGATAGAGAAACCTCAACCGTTGGATCTAACGAGATGAGGAGTGAAAAAAAAAGGAAAACAGGCCAAAGGTCTTTAAATTCAGAAAAAATGCAACAAAATTTTGACTGGGTTTTCCTCAGCGCAACTGAGGAAGACGATCACGGAGTGATAGTGAGTTACCGAGTTAGGGTTTCAAACTCAACTCACTCAGTCAATTTCACCGTTTTTTGTCTTCTCTCTTTCACCGGAGAAAACTACGCTCCGCTCCCTCCTTTCATTGTCTTTCCATTTTCCGGCGAGATTTTCCCGTATTCCGGTGACCTAGGAGAACATAATTCGATTCTCTGATTATATCACTAGGTTTTGACCACAAAAGTCTTCACTGAAAAATTCCACTTGCTATATTGGCTTTGATTCAGTCCTTCTAGACGGGTTTTATTTCTCTTTTTTTTTTTTGAATTTGCTGAAAAAATAAAGATAATTTTTTTTTATTACTTTTTTTGAATTTCAATAATCAATCATTTAAATAATTTTTTAGGGTCTTGTGAAAATGCCATATGTTTTAACTTGAAGAGACAATCTTTGGCCGTATTGATGAAATTGGTTCAGTGAATTCCGCAAAAAATTATTTGTATATATTTCAATTTTAGGAAATGGGCCAGTGATTAACTTATACTTTTTTGGAATTGATTGGTTTTGATATTTATTTCTTTCAACGCCTGCTGAATCATGTTTTTGTTTTTTCAAAGGCTTGATTTTTGTTAATTTTTTATTATTTTTTTTTTAATTTTTTCTACAGGTGTGTTTCTTAGTTTGGTTAATTGATCTGTGTCTTATTTTGAATTGATCATTTTCCTAATATAGTGGTGTCACTGCAACTGGCAGGAACCACTCGCTCTTTCGACTATTGGAGTTTTATTTCTATCCCTAAACTCTTTGGCTTCCAAAAAGACTTTGAATCTGTGTTGGAGTTGGACACATGACTATCTCTTTGACCCGTTTGGCATGGTCAGTGTGGGGTGGGAGGGGAAAGGAGGAAAAGCCCGTTTCTAAAGTTTCTGCTCTGAATTCTTCACCATCTTCTGAATGGGGTATTGCTAATGACACAAAGAAGATGGCCCCACCTCATAGGAAAGAGAGGAGAGTGCATAGAGAGTATGGTGATGTTACGTTGGTGCCATTTGATGATGATTTCAGTAGTGGTTGGTGCTTGTGCGGTTCTGAATCCGATGACTCAGAGTGGTCCATTGGGTGGTTGGAACCTCTTGGCTCTGGCTTTCAGAGTGATGATATTGATGGTGATGGTTTTGCAGTGCTGGTTCCTTGCTATAAACCTAGCTGCAAGGAGGTGGGGGCCTCAAACAAGGCGCTTTTGAGTGCCATCAAAAACCTCTCCAATGGATTTTCTTCTGGTAAGTTTTTTTGCACTTGCTTTTTTTAGCAATGTAATTTTGTTCCCTTTTGTTTTATTGGTTGATTAGCTTTGTTACTTACCTTGGCTCTGAGGGCAAACAACTTTGTTCAGAGGGATCTGTGTTGTATTGCTGCATGTAGATTATGTTGAGCATCATCTTTGTGATTTTGAGTTGGTTCTGCCTTATTGTAGATGGTTCTTTTCTGATGAGTGATGAAGAAAATGTGTTATATTCATCCTAGTTATTTCTGGGTTGTGATTTTTGTTTGTTACCTTGGACTTGTTATTTTTGTTATATACTGGTGCTTGGTAAGTCGGTAACATATAAGTGCTATGGTCTTGAATTTTAAGGCTTCCGTTTCCCGTTTTATAATTGATGATCGTACTCAAAGGCTTTATTTGGTTAATTAATTAAATGATTGTTTGATTTTGATATTTGGCTTTTATGGGACTGGGTTCTGGTTTCCTTTTTTCTATTTGTTGTGTTCCCTCTCTGATTTCCAAAGGCATGGTTTGCTTTTTCAAGTTGATTTTCATTTTCTTTGTTGTCCCTTTCTCTTATTCCAGCAGGATTCCTGATCCTCTGCCTCTTTCTGCCTTTATTTTCTTCTCCTAAAGAATTCCAATTTTTCCAAAAAATCAAAAAAAATCCCAGGCTGAAAATTTTGGTCAGGCAATAAATTACAAAATGTTGCATTTATGACACAGGAAAAGTTTTGCACTAAAGTAATTTCGTAATTTGATTTAACGCCTTAAATTCTGTATTATTGAACTTACAGGCGTGATTTCTCTTTGTGAATTATCACCACAATTCAATAATAAAAAGTAATAATTTGACAAAAGGAACTGATTTGATCCCAAGCGTCGCATGTGTGGTCCTCAATATAGCTTTAGAGACTTCATTTTATTTTATTTTTTCTCTTTTTAAAATTTCTTATCGGGTTGCTGATACTTGAGCACAATGCTCGAGTCCTAGAGCCATAAAGGGGCTCATCCTGTTGATCTTGTAATTTGAATGAAACTATGAGAGTAAAACTTGGAAATTATTGCATTTAAAATAGTATAATCTGCCAATTTTAATTAGGTATTTGTACAGATCAAAACAACTAACAACTTGTAATTTGAAATTTTGAATGGTGGTGATGCTTTTTCCTCCATATATAATTGTGTCTGACCATCGAATTTGCATTCGTTAACTGTATGAATCAGTGTTGCGTTGATAATTGCATCTGCCTTTTTAAGAGACTAAAAAAGAGTCATCCATACTAATTTTTGATATTCTGTTTAAAAATATTTGCAGCTGGGAAGAGTTGCATAGAACAATGGCTGGCTTCTCTTCAGAATTTTGAAGCGTAGAAAGAAAACTACATGTTCTTGTGGACCATTCAGGCAAAATGCTACCAGTAAATAGAACAAAGTTAATGAAGAGTTCTTATAAGAACTGATAGGGTCTAATCTCGCAGGACATGTTACTACAGCAGGGAAGTTCAAATGTCTAGTCTCTTCACTGTAGAGATGCCCCTTGTCTATATCTATATTTATTAGTAATAGAAAAGGCAGCAAAACCCTTTTAAATGAAAGGATTCATTCACATCTATACGCTTATAGCAGTTTTTTTTTTTTTTGACTTTATTTAATTCTTTAACCATTGACATCCGATGAAATTCGTAGGCGTTTATATCGTTTATTCATCAATAAGTGCTAATTATTTTAGTTCCTCTTAAAATAAAATTTGCTGGCTTTTTTTTCTCATCCTTTGTATTTCCAAATGTATATAATTTGGCAACAATCGTTTTAGTGAAATGGATATACTCTATATTTTATAAAATTAAAAATAATATAAAGATAAAAATAATATAATAAGTGGTTATTAAAGAAGTTAGGAGAAATAAATGTACTTTAATAAGTTAGAAGTGGTTTTGTATATCTACTATAATAGGGATATTCTATTTTTGTGTATATAAATTTTGACTATTTTATCTTTAAATTTTTAAATAATAAAAAATAATATTTAAGATTTTAAAATTTAAAAATTAAGTATTATATCGATTGATTTAATAAATATTAATAATTTTTAAATATTTCTAAATAAATATAAAGATACGGAATGTTTTGATCTTACTCGTAATTAGTAAAAATTATATAGTTGAAGAATTTTGTATATAAAAATATGAAATATATGGGGATTATGATTTCCATAAGGGAAATGTTAATTCTTCAAAAACAATCAGTGGAAAGTTCAAAATTAGAAAAAGTTAATTTAAATTAATAAATATTGAATTAAATAATTATGTTATTTTGAATTATAAAAAGTTACTTTAAATGATAAAATATTAAATTAAATAATTGTTTGGGAGGAAACAGCAGTGAGGCTTGAATGAAAGCAAAGTTAGATTGGTGACACTTTGCTGGCTGAAAGCGAGTTGTAACCGAAGAGGTTCGCTCCTGTTATGCGCCCGAGGTCTCACTCAGTTGGTGCCTAGCGGTTTAGATTCTGTGTGTGCATCATCATTTTCACTCCACGTGCACTTGATAACAAAAAATGAGCTAAACGATCATTATAATACAGTTTTACAAACAAAATATTAAAATGGGACTGTTTTGAAATATATTACACCTTTGGGGCTCTTTAACTGGGTGTCGCCATAGCGATATCGATGACACGTGGCAATTTTGAGTCTACTTCTAAGCCATGAACGCCATATTAAAGGAGGCGCTGTAGCTGGTGGCGACCCTCAGAAGTCGCTATAGGCTACAGCGACTTCACTTGGCTACCCCATTTATATAATAAATTTTTAAAAATAGAAAATTTTATGTGAAGAAAAAGGAATAAAAATAACTTAATGTAATATATAAGAAAAAAAAATTAAAAATGAACAAATATTATGTGAATAAAAATTAAAAAACGAAAAAATAAAAAAACAAAATATGAGGCGCTGTGGCTCCAAGCGCCCCAAAGACGCTATGAGTCACAGCGCATTTTTAAAATTTTTTTATAATAATTGTTAAATATAAAAATTGATAAATGAATTATAAAAAAATTTCCAGGAAAAGCGAAAAAAAGAACTGAAATAAGAAAAAATAACATTTTTTAAAAAAAAGTAATGTAATGTGGAAAAAATTAATAAAAACCAAAAAAAAATAATTAAAAAACGGGGCGCTGGGGCTTGTAGCGCCTGCTTTAAAAATAAATAAACCAAAAAATATAATTTATTTAAAATATTTTATAAAAATAAGAATTGATAAATTAATATAAAAAAAAATTTCGGATAAAAAAGCAGAAAAAAGAACTGAAATAAGAAAAAATTTAGTTTTTTTTTTAAAAAGTAATGTAATGTGGAAAAAAATAATAAAAACCAAAAAAAAATTAAAAAAGGGGCGCTGGGTTGTAGCGCCTTACAGGCGCATCGGATGTGGATTCTGAAGTAATCATCTAAGAATTCTATTTGCTACCGGTATGGGGACAAGGCCGAGTCATTCCGATGGATGAAGTGGCCGCGATCACCAGGGTTACGTGACGACGTAACCCAACTGTATAGGTTTGGATGTGTAGGCTACTTCATGGGATTATACAGTGGTGTAACTTTGGTTTGGATGTGGAATATGTATGCATTTGGTATGGATTGTATACATTGGTTATGAATTCTTTATTATCATATAATATGTATGCATTGGCATGGATGTGTATACATTGGACTTTGGATTGATTTATATTTGGCATGGAAATGACTTGTTATAATGTTGTCATTCCCTTGGTATGGATACATACTGTTAATGAATATCTAGTTTAATGATGTTCTCCCTCCAGAACGGCCCGTTCTCCGACCAGAACGGCCCGTTCTCCCTCTAGAACGGCCTGTTCTCAACAATGATTTACAGGTCATTTTAATAGCTTGGAACGGCCCGTTCCAGATTGGGAACGGCCTGTTCTGGGCTAGTAAAACACCAACTTACTATGTCACAATACCCCCAACAAATAAGAATTTTCGTCCCTGAAAATAGGCTTACTTGGGAATAGAAACGGATACCGCTCCCTGCACTGCTGCTCAACCTCCCAAGTAGCTGCACCAGTACCTGCATCCCACAACACCTTCACCAGAGCAATGGACTTGCCCCTCAACTCCTTCAGCTTATGATCAACCACAGCTACTGGCAACTTCTCATACGTTAGATTCTCCTTCACCCGTACATCATCCAGCTCCACCACATGACTAGGGTCATGAACATACTTCCTCGGCTGGGATACATGAAATACATCATGTAGGTTCAAAAGAGACGGTGGCAAGGCCAACCGATAAGCAACCAGACCCACACGCTGTATGATCTGATAGGGACCAACAAACCTCGGTGTCAACGTCCTTGCTCTCAGCGCTCTACCTATACCAGAAGTCGGGGTCACCTTCAGAAACACATGTTCCCCTTCAATAAACTCCAAAGGCTTTCACCTTTTATCAGCATACGGTTCCCACCTACTTTGAGCAGTCTTCATCCTCTCCTAAATCAGCTTCACCTTCTCAGTAGTCTGTAGGATCAACTCCAGTCCCACAACCACTGACTCACCATCTTGATACCAGCACAGAGGAGTCCTACATCTTCTGCCATACAAGGCTTCACACGGCGTCATCCCAATACTAGCATGAAAGCTATTATTGTACGTGAACTCAACCAGCGATAGGACCTCCTCCCAGCTTTCCAAGTGGTCTAACACACAAGCCCTCAATAAATCCTCCAAGGACTGGATTGTCCTCTCTGACTGACCATCCGTCTGCGGATGATAAGCAGAACTCAGCTTCAGCTTCGTGCCTAAGGCTTGATGTAGGCTCTACCAAAATCTGGAAGTGAACCTCGGATCTCTATCTGAAATAATATTGGAAGGCACCCCATGCGACCGTACTATTTCCCTCACATACAACTAGGTCAGCTTCTCCAAGGACCACTTGATGTTGACAGGCAAGAAATGTGCACACTTGGTCAACCGATCAACAGTCACCCAGATAGCATCACTATTCCTAGCCGACCTAGGCAACCTGACGATGAAGTCCACAGTGATACTATCCCACTTCCATTCCGGAATCTCCATTTGCTGCATCAACCCACTCGGCTTCTGATGCTCCACCTTTGCCTTCTGACACGTCAGAAAGGCCGCCACATATTCAGCTATCTCCCTCTTCATACCAGACCACCAGAAAGTCTTCCTGAGGTCTTAGTACATCTTTGTCATACCAGGATGTATGCTAAGTCTATTCTTGTGACCTTCCTCCAACACAGCCCTCTTCAACTCAGCATCCTGAGGTAGGCAAATTCTAGCACAATTACTCTTCAAGACGTTGGCATGCTTGTTGGTCTTTCGGTTGACGGTGAACCGATAGTATCTCGACGCGATCCAAATATATTGGAATTAGGTAATTATAAGTTATACCAGGATGTATGCTAAGTCTATTCTTGTGACCTTCCTCCAACACAGCCCTCTTCAACTCAGCATCCTGAGGTAGGCAAATTCTACCCTTGAACCTCAAGATTCCATCTCCGCCCAGCTCAAAACCAACAGCCTTCTTAGTTCTTAGCAAACCAAGAAGCTTCACCAGTTCAACATCTTGCAACTGCTTAAGTCCAACCTACCTCAAGAACTCACTAGTTATGGTAATCATCCCACAACTAATGTGATCCTGAGCCAACTCTACACAGAGATTCAAATCTCTGAACTTCTCCACCAACTCCAACTCTTTCACCATCATACCAGACATGTGGATGGATTTCCTACTCAGCGCATCTATCGCAACATTGGCCTTCCCAGGATGATACATCAACTGGAAGTCATAATCCTTCAGAAATTCCATCCACCACCTCTGCCTCATGTTCAGCTCCTTCTGATCAAACAGGTACTCAGACCCTTGCGATCACTGAAGACGCTAAACCAAGCACCATACAGATAATGTCTTCATATCTTCAAGGCAAAAACAATAGCTGCCAACTCCAAGTCATGAGGGGGATAATTCCTCTCATGGTTCTTCAGTTGCCTTGAAGCATATGCCACCACTTTCCTATTTTGCATCAGCATGCACCCCAGACCCTGATGGAAAGCATCGCAGTACACATCAAATGGTTCACCAGAGTCGAGCAACACTAGCAAAGGAGAAGTAGTCAACCTCCTCTTCAGCTCATCAAAACTCCGCTCACAGGCATCTGTCCAAATGAACGGCGCTCCTTCCTCGTCAACTGGGTTAAAGGCGCTACTATCTTGGAGAATCCCTCAATGAACCTCCTATAGTAACCCTCCAAACCCACAAAACTCTGAATATCAGTGACAGTTCTTGGACGTTCCCACTACAGTACCGACTCCACCTTAGCCGGATCAACAACAATCCCCTCAACTGAAATCACATGTCCCAAGAACTTCACCTCATCCAACCAGAACACACATTTTGAAAGCTTAGCGTACAGCTGCTTTGCCTTCAAAATCTCCAGCACCAACCTCAAGTGCTCACCATGCTCCTCCGGGGTCCTTGAATAAATAAGGATGTCGTCAATGAACACCACCACAAATTTATCCAAGAAAGGCCGGAAGATCCTGTTCATGTAATCCATGAACACTGCCGG